TTGATGTAAATGTTTTTAGACCTTGGAATTGCATTTTCAGATATTCATGTATGTAGGTCTGTTTCTGTCTTTGCAATTCTCTGCAGCTTTTTATTCAACATACATACACGGAGGCTTATGCATGCGTGCCAGTCGATGTCTGATTCCTACAAGCCAGATGTGTATCACACAAGAATTTCTGCCTTTGTGGTGTTCCTTTGCCAAGGTTGTATTTTGCCAGGATCCTATTTGTTATTTACTGTAACTCTATAAATCTGAATACCTAGAAGAGCAAGTTCAATTATGTTATTCTTTTCCAAATTATCATTACTTTTCTTGGTCCTTTACATTTTCATATATTTTTATGATCTCCTTTTCAAGTTCATAAACAATGTTGTTGATAGATGATATTTATTACCTTTCTACTTCCATAAGTTTTTGCTACTCTTTCCATGTAAATGTGTAAATTTATATTTTAAGGCAATCTAATAGCTAAAGATTAATAACAGGCTCTTTAGTGATTTTGTATGAATTTTAATTAGATATGTATAGGAGTAAAATACAAAAGTATGATTAAGCCAGAGATGCTTTCCAAAATTTTTTTTCAAAATGATCTTTGACTTTCTGATCAAGTGACAACCTATCCTCCTTGGCAGTCTATGTAGTTGAACACACTATATAGACAAAACAAGCTTGATAAAATCAAGTCAGGACCCCTTCACTGAGATTTACTTATTTCCAAGGACAGGGCTTCCTAATAAATCTCAACTTCAGAAAATAGAGCTTAATCCCAAAGTTTAGAGGGAATTTCAAATGTCCACACTAACCTACAAAAGGAAATCATCTTTTAGGTTAAAACATAATTAGACTAAGTTTTATATTGACATACTGAAATTTTTACATTAAATCTTTCCAGTTCAATATAAGCCAAGATTAATAAAATATAATAATAAATAATCAGGTTGAAAAAGGGTATGTTCATCAAAGCGACTTGTTCAGTGTTATTTAAATATGTGTATGTAGATGAAAATAATACAAAAATGTATACTGTGAAATGAGCGGTATCTGCTGGTTCACAAAATAAGTTTTGTGTAAAAAAAAAAACTCACTCAACTAAGAAAATTCAAATATAGTGGTAGTTAAAAATTTACACTCAAATCTTGACATCTTAGGACTATTTTAAAGAATTTTGCTATTTATCTTTTAAGAAGATTTCTCCATCATTTAAGATAACACGTGTGCCTTTCAGTTAGGAAACTAGTATTGTCAACTGAATATTAAAAAGAATTATACTTTCCTAACTGACCAAATTTCATAACTTTATTATCTTCTAGCGCCTCAACTAAGGAGTATGAAGGATTTCTACTTTTTGTTTTAAAACATCTGTAATGCATTTCAATTTTAGTTTAGTGCATGGTGAGAGCTATAAGTCTAGTTTTAATCTTTGGCAAGTTGAAATCCAGTTTTTACAGCACCATTTATTAAAGAGGCTATCTTTCCTCCAGTGAGGGTGATTAGCTCCTTTGTCAAAGATGAGGTGGCTGAGTGTTTCTGGAGTTGTTTCTGTATCTTCTAAACTTTTTCACTGATCCTCACGTCTGTGTCTTTGCCAGGTCCATGCTGTTTTTATCACAGTGGCTTTGTAGTATAGTTTCAAGCTGGGTTTTGTGATACTCCCTACCTTGTCTTTGTTGCCTGGAATCGCGTTTTCTATTTTAGGTCTCTCATTCCAAGTGAATTTTTGGATTGTTTTTTCAAGCTCCATGAAGTATGCTGCTGGAATTTCAATAGGGATTGCATTGAATCTATATAGCAGTTTTGGAAGTATGACCATTTTCACTATGTTCTTCCTATGCTGGAGCAAGGGATGTCTTTCCATTTTCTGATTTCATCTTCGATCTCTACTTTCAGAGTGCTATAGTTTTCAGAGTGGAGGTCTTTGATTTCTTCCTATTCATCCATAAAGAATGAGAAACTACAGATATTTATAGCTAAATGGGTGCACATTGAGGCCATTTTTCTTAAGTGAAGTAAATAGGACATACGTATAAATACTGAATAGTTTCTTTGGTGTGAGAAACGGAAAGTATAAATAAGGAAGAAAATCTATGATAAAATAATGTGAAATAGCAAGAAAAGGTCCAAAGGGGAAGGGGAAGTGGGAGGGGTAGAGGAAACAAAGTCTTTGTAAATAGGGAGGGTTGGAAGGGTTGAATGGCGGGCAGGGGAATGGGGGAAAAATAAGAACCAAGATATGTAAAGATACAAATTCCCAATAATGAATGTCAGCATATTGTATACCTAAAATGTGCCAGTAAAATTAATGAATAAAAAAAAGTCAACTCACAAAAATTTTCAGTGCTCCTTTGAAATTAGGTTTTATTCCACTTAAAAATAGTTATAAATATGTATATACAAGATACAGGTCAGCATTTCATGACACCTTGTAGCATTTCTACACTGTTCCTTGTCTGTGGGACCTTGTTATTGCTCATCTTTAGTTTTCTATTTCTCTTCTCTCATCTTTTTTTTTGGTACCGGGGATTGAACTCGGGTCTTTGTGCTTGCAAGTCAGGCCACTGAACCACTGAGCTAAATCCCCGGCCCCATTTTAGATCTTGATATGTTGCCATGTGACCCAGAAGTCAGGGAAACCACCCTTAGTTGATCAAATGTTTGTGATTTCCTTTTGCCTAGTACTTCATTTTGCAAGTCTCCTTTCTAAATGCTAAGAACTGGGAGAGATACAAGAGTTTTCCATGTGTGTTGCATTCATTCTTAATCTGTGATTAGAATCATTTAAATTCCTGAAAATTTCAAGAAGCTGAAAATAGCTGTTAAATACTTCACCTAGAGTTTGTAGAAGTACTTAGTTTAGGTATTTGAATCTGTATCCATCTTGACCTAGATTTTTCTGTGTATTCATTTTAAATCATGAGGTAAAGAAAAGAAAGATACTCTACTCTTTCTCATGTTTTTCCTTTTAGTATCATTCTCTTTTCTTTGAATATCATTATCTTTTAATGTCATTTTCTTTTTCATATCATTATTTTCATTTTAGTATCATAATGAACCAATTCTAGAGATTTCAGAAGGCATTGTTCTATCAGATCCATAAGAATGTGTTCCTGCTGTATGGGAATAAAGCATATAATTACTGCTGCTAATTATTGCCTAGCTAGTGAATTGTCAGTCAGTTTTGCCTCTTTTGTTTATTTTCTTAACATAATTTTCCACTGGTATGAATTATTTCTTGGGTTCTGTTCCTTTGCCATCTTTCCATGAAGGTATCTGTGAAAATAGACAATGTTCTATTAATCATCTATGGTGTTACTATTTCTATTTGCCTGTCAAGTGTTATTGCCTTTTGTGTGATTATTTCTATTGTCACTATTTTAAAAAGAAAGACTATTTTCCATGGTTATATCTGTTACATTTAGCGATAGGGTGCTCTACTGTCTTAACCTTGTGATGGTGAACCTTTCAGAGTTTTCAATGATAACAAATAGAATTGCATGACTTATATTTACCACCTTTGTCCCAGCCCTTTGTCAGTATACACTTCCATAAGGATCCATAAATTTTCCAATAAATAAAATAGTTTTATTTCCCAAGAATATTATATAAATATGTATTGAACACATATAAGGCAGACTCCTGCCAGGCACTGGAAAAAATAATGAGTAAGACAATTCCTGCCCTCAAGGAACTTTCAGTGTAGTGATTTTTGGTTGGGTGACAGGGTTCCAGTCCTGACAATATTCCTATATGCTATGGCATATTCTCAGATCTTCTTTCCTGCACGTTAGCCTGAAACAAGTCACTTCTTTATGCCCTTGCTTAGTGATTATGTAGTAAATTTCAATGTTCTTTAGGGTCAAGAAAGTATATGTCGACAATCTTGTAAAGAGGACATATATATCTTTTAGGGCATAATATATTTCTGAATGATGAGAAGTTAATTTTTTCCATTGGTCACTACTACATCATAGGACAGCCATAAATGAATGAAGCACAGGTTGAGCTTGACACAGTTAAAAAGACCTTGAGGTAAAAGAACCTTTAAATCTACTGAGAATGGTTCTTAGAATAATTTAAGAGGTAGTATGGGTGTTTTGTATCCTTGAAAACTCTTTGAATGGCAACTTTATATAGCAGATTATATTTAACTTTCCCTTACTCAGCTGTTTGTCAGAGTTCAAGAATTCTTTTATTCCCGAATTAAGAAGTCTGAAGTTCTATCATGGTCTGGTTACACATACCTTTGCCTCTGTATGGCATTGGAAGAGAAAGTGTCATTTCAAAAATACAGCTCCCCTAGGCATCTAAGTTCACTAGTGCCAACAAGCTGGCCTTTTTGTGGCTATGTATTTATAAATATGTTTCAGTTTTTTTCACTAGGTAGGCTATCCATAGTAGAAAAGACAACTTATAAATTCTCTTTATGTTGGAAAAATAATGCAAGACTTTCATGTACACATAGCTGTGTTCTGCTTTTTATATGATAAGAGACTATAAGGAAATTTTATAGGACAGCTAGCTTGATTTTACGTAAAATGTAAAATTTTATCATGAATTCAGTGTCAACGTTAGCTTTTCCATCCATGTAAGTAAAACTTACGGGATTTGCTTAAGGAACTTAATTTTTTTTTAGAAATACTTTCATTTTGATTTCAGATAATTCCATGGTGAATATAATTTATTATACTTGTGCAAGGTCCTTATGTTTTTCTTTAATGTCATCGTATCAGTGTTTTTTAAAGACCATTAATATATAATCTGTATTTCCTTTAGGAAAATGATTGCCATAATCAGCCCATTATTGTAACATTCTAACATCTTTCATTAAATGTCCTGTTATGTGAAATAAAAAGACAATGATAATGATTCTAATGACAGCAGAATCACACAGGCTTAATAAGATATGTCTGTTGATAACTTGCCTTTCCTTATATAGCTCTTGATCATGTTCATAAGACTGAAATCTTTATTCTTAGTATTTCTTTTTCTTCAACATGTAGGGATGTGAGCTAATTTCAACACCTGATGAGGACCACACTGACTTTACCAAGTGCCTTCAAGTGCTTCAGAAAAAGATAGAAGAAAAAGGCCTACAAGTAAGCTATGCACTTGTTTAATATCTAAGGGTTACCAGGGTTGTAAAATACCCTGTTTAAAACTCTGACATATCTGAAATGTTTATTAACTTTGTGATTTTTTGGGGGATTTTTGTTGTGTTTTTCTATATATGAAATAAATTTGTATTGAGCTGCTAAAACATTTAACAGATACATGTAAATCAGAGATCACAAATACAAACATCTTACGATGACAAGGTGTAAAATGGTTGAACTGGACCATACATGATCAGAATCTAGAGGTCATTGTTGTTCTAAAGTGACTAGATATTGTTCATCTCTAGTTTTTTATTACTATGCAGGGGTACATGTGTTTTCATAATATATCGTTAAATATTACATGCACAAATCAGACGAATATACCTTTTACTTGGCTCATCATCCATCATTGCAAACTCTTATGTAAATACATAAAATATCACCTTCATTTAAGTGGGGGAAGAATCTACTACTTCGCATTTGTGCATTCTCTAAGGAATCCAGTAATGATTTTTCATCTATCATCCAAATGTTTAATCACAATCCTTAGTTAATAACTGTGCATATAATATTTGGCTACATTTTCATTATTGAAATGATACGTGAAATGTTTTAGAGGTTTTTTTTTTAATTAGAAAGAGGAGAAAGAGGTTTATCTTTTCTCACAGTTTCAGTCCATGGTCCGCTAGCTTTAAAACATCATGGCAGAAGTTCATGCTGGAAGAAACCTGCTCAACTCACAACACCCAAGAAATAACAGGGGAAGGGGAAGAGCACCAGAGACAAAGGTTCCAGAGACCACATAGAGCCTCCAAGGTCATGCCCCTCTGACTTTTCCAGGCACAACCAAAAGTGTCTTTTATTAGTCTCCTAGGTGTCTCCCAAATCAGTCAAGATCTCCCCACTGTCAACTTGACATCCAAACACATCTCCTTAAACTATGTAATCTCCAAATGGAGAGAACAAGATCATAATTTTACTTAACATTATGCAGTTATACAACCAGAAATGCACTATTTCCTTTCCCAGAGTTTCAGTAGTCATGGTAGTGCCCCAAATTTCAAGTTCAGTCTCCTCTGAGACTCACAGCAAACCTTTATCCATGAACTCCTATAAAATTAAAAAAGCAAGTCATATAATTCCAAGACACAATTGCACCACTGAACCATTAAACATTTCCAATCTAAAAAAGATAAACAGGAGAACAGAAAGTAATAGGACCAATTTAAGACAGAAAAGCCAACAGGCAAACATTAAGTACTGTAGTTCCATGACTGGCATTCAGGGAATGTAGCAATCTATCAGGTATATTGACCTCACTCCTATGGCCTTGCTGCTTGCCACTCATATGGCCTCTCTTAGGCTGGCTCTGCTCACTACCTACAGTTTTCCTAGACTCATGTTGCACATCCCTAAAATCTTGGCATTCTTGTGATTTCCAGTGCTTTATCCTCACACCCACAGTGTCACAGACAGCTCTTTCAGGGACTCCTGGCAGGGACTTCCACTCTATCACACATTGTGTGGGCTTCCAGGCCTTCTATTAAAATCTCAGTGGAAGCTTCCATGACCCTATAACTCTTGCATTCTGCATTCCTGCAAAACCAGCATCATGTGAGTAACAACAGTCTGCTGCCAGTGTGAGCAGCAGCCAGTTCCCCTTGGGCCCATGGTTGCAGTGGCTTCTGAGTGCTTGATTAAATGATTGTAAAGAAATATATCCATGGGTAATTTTGAGTAAACAGGATTCCTGAGGCCTCTTTTCTCAAAGCAAAAGACTTCATATTTTTAGCACTTAGGCCTATGATAGGTGGGATATTGCTGATTCCTGAGACACCTTCAAGGCATCTTTCTTTTGGTCCTGGTGCAAAGTATTTGATTTCATTTTAATGGTGCTAATACCTTCCACAACCACATCTTTTTTGTCCTCAACTTTACTTGTGCTTCTTTTCTCGCCAAACTGCAAGTTTTTTGTCTTTCAAAAGTTCTATTTTTTGCTTCTTATTCTCATTATAAGTGTGGGATACCATTCTAAGCCTTTAGGCCTTCCTCTTTCCAGTGGATCGTCAACCCTCTGATGTCCCCTGTCTTCAAGGCTCCTTGATCCTTGTCTTCCTCTGTGTACATGAATAGAAAATTGGAAACAGTGAACACTTAGTTGAGTAGCTGAAGATCCCTTGGCAGCAACTGAGGACACTCCTCATCCAGGCCAACCTCAACTTGTGTCACTTAGATGGAACATTTTTGATACCCATTTCTGTTTCAGCTCCAAGGCTTCTGGGTCCAGTGGGACTCAGGTTGTGATTTCCTTATTGAAGTTCTGGAGTTAGACCCTGTGCTGTTTGTATTTTTACTCTAGAGCTCTCATCCCTACTGTGTTCAGTCAACTTTTTGTCACTGTGGCACATGACCTGAGAAAAACAGTTTAAAGGAGGAAAGATGTATTTTGGCTCATGGTTTCAGTCCATACTTGGCTGATTCCAAGGCAGAAATATCTTGGTAGAAGGGCAAAGTGAAGGAAGGCTACTCCCGTTGTGGCAGCCAGGAGGGAGTGAGAAGGAGAAGGGAGGGAGAGAGAGAAAAGAGAAGGGGCCAGGGACAGCATATAATGTTCACAGCCATGCACCTGCCTAGTGACTGGAAATTTCTTAAGCTTGTTAAGGAACAACTGTAAAATTAAGCATGAAGCATTGAATGGCAGTTTTTCATAGCAGGGGTAATAAGCTGAAATGCATTATCAGTTGTGTAATTTTACACTAAGAATAGTAGAAAAACACCATTGTTTAACAGAATGCATTTGATAAAACCACTAACAGGCATGGTCTTCAACTTGGGCTTAACAATCCAGTTAAAAGAGTCAACCCTCAGGCACAGCTCAGTTGGATCTCATGATGTTTCCTTGATCTCTTCTATCCCTTATGTATGGGCTTTGTCATCACACTGATTTTCCTGACTGCCTCTAACTCTTACCCGCAGCAACTTTTTACCCATCAAAGTAGAGGAATAAGCATGAGAGAAAAGGTTATTTGTATCACTTCTGACCATCATTAAACTTAACTCACAAGATTTCTCTGTTAAACCATCCTGGAGTTGACAAAGCAAGATGAGAGTATCCTGATTGTCTTAGACTTGACAGAGGGCTAGGATCATCCGCATGGCTCACATATTCAACCTTCATGTCTGATACATATTTGCCTAAGAGGGCTGGGTGTCAGAGAGGCAACATCAACAATTACTTCTTAGCAATAAAGTTTATCAGAAATTTACTCTAACATATGTTTTAGAATTAGTAAATCTACTTTCATGACAAAGAACACCTTAGGAACTTCAGGAATAACAAACCAGCACTCCAAAAAATTTTAAACAATATCCTAAGACAATGATGATCACAACCCTAGGAAGCCCAGCAGAATGAATTGGTCAGGCACGACAAGAAATTAAATGCAAAGGGGGAGAATCCAACAAAAAGAAAAAGTCATGACAAGGATAAGTCAATACATATCAGTTATAATCATCGATATTAATGGTCTCAATTCACCATTCAAAAGAAATAGATTGGCAGAGTGGATCAAGAATCAAGATTCAACAATATGCTGCATGTAAGAAACACACTCAATTCAAAAAGAAAATTCATAGACTGAAGGGTAAAGGGTAGAAAACAATACTCCATGTGACAGGAACCCCCCCCAAATACAGAAGTAGTTATGCTTCTTGCAGATCAAGTGGATGGATTTTAGACCAACACTGATTAAGAGAGACAAAGAAGGATAGCACATCCTTGAAAAGGGAACAATCCAAGAGGAAGAGATGACAATCATAAATATATATGCAACAAACACTACTGCACCCAACTATATAAAACAAATACTAATAGACATGAAAAATCAAATAAGCACTAACACAATAGTAATGGGGGACCTCAGTACTCTATTGTCACAATTATATCAACTAGACAGAAAATAAGAAAATACTAGAACTCAACCAAACTCTTGAGCAGATGAACTTAACAGATGTTTACAGAGTATTCCACCCCACAAAATCAGAATACACATTCTTTTCAGCTGCACATGGGTTATTCTCCAAAATAACCCACATACTCCCTCAAAGAACATGTTGAAGTAAATGATCCCCTGTATATTATCAGACCACAGTGCAATGAAATTGGAGATCAATAGCAAAAGAAACTGAAAGAATTTCATAAACACATGGATTGAACAACACACTTTTGAGTAACTAGTGGGTAACAGAGGACATTAAAGAAGTCAAACAGTTCCTACAATTAAATGACAATGACAATACAACATATCAGAATCTATAGGACACAATAAAAACAGTCTTACAAGGGAAATTCATAGCAATAAATATACTACATATTAGGAAAACAGAGCAAGTGCAATTAATCTGATGCTGAACCTCAAGCTTCTAGAAAATGAAGAGCAGGACAAACCTAATGCTCATACAAGGGAGGAAATTTCAAAGATCATAACAGAAATCAATGCAATGGAGACTAAGAGAATGATACAAAAAATGAGCAAAATCAAGAGTTGATTCTTCAAAAGAATAAAATTGACAAACATTTAGCCTACCTTATCAAAAAAAGGAAACAAAAGACCCAAATCCATGTAATTAGGAATGAAAAGGGTGAAATTGCAGTGATCCAAGCAGAAATCCAGAAGATCCTCAATACCTACTTCTAAACAACCCAGTATCAGTCAATGAAATTGAAAATGTAATTAAAAACTTACCAACTAAGAAAGGCCCGGGCCCTGGTGGCTTCACTGCTGAATTCTACAAGAGAGGAACTACTGCCACTACTGTTTAAGCTTTTCAATGAAATTGAAAGGGAGACAATAGTCCCAAATTCATTCCTGGAAGCAAGCATCACCTTGATCTCCAAAGCAGAGAAAGACCCAATTGAATAAAAGAACTATAGGCCAATATCACTAATGAACATAGATGCAAAAATCCTTCATAAGATATTGGCAAGGGCTGGGGATTTA